TAGTTTTATAGCTCCCTTTCACGTCCCATATCTTCATACATAAAAAACCAGCCAAAATGGAGACATCACCCCACGTCCTCCAAAGAGGTCATCATTTCTCTACACAATCAATTCCATTCCACTCAAAACAAAAGCAATTGTCGGTTTTCTTTTTGACCAAGTGCACACGTTCACCAACAAGAAAGCAAAACCACAAATGTGCAAAGAAAGCACACTTTAGACAATACAACTTATTTGCGGTCCCCACCAACTTTGACATGTTGTCTAGCCAAATTGAATTCCCAAATGCAATTCCATTCTTCTTCGTTGGTTTGCACCAAAATTGTGTAAAGCTTCACAATAATCTTCTCAAGAGGTTTCTGCTCCAATTTCTGAAATTATATCCAAATACCAAATATAAATATATATTGACAATTAAAGCAAATTAAAGCAATATTTGGCAAGGATAAAAAGGAAAATTAACAATAAAATTACTAACAATTAACACCCTATCACTTTAAATCACTAATTTGCAACTATTAAAAGCAAAGAGAAATTTTCTTAGCAGGTTACCTTGGAACCTCAAGAAAATGGTAGCTTAGTATCTTTCCTCCCAAATTGACTCCACTAAAACCTTTGAACTTCCTTAGTTAGCACTTTGTATGGAGAAATCTACAATTTTGATGGTTGGGAATCAAGATTGAAGCAAGGGATTGAAGTGTAAGATGAAGTATTTCCTCTCTTTTCTCCTCTCCAAGAGTCTGCCAAGCAAGGTGGAAAATGAAGAAAAATTTGGTCAAAATTGATGTTTAGTAAAGGTAAGAAAAGTTGGTCAAAGTCCAACTCCAATCGGGTCGCGACACTTGGCACTTTTCAGGGTTTAAACTTATCTTTTTTCTCCCAATGGTTAATCTACCTAGCTAACCTCTAATCATCTCCTAACACCTTATAAAATAATATTCCTTTACAAAATTTCAACTAATTGTCAAAATATTTCGCATTTACCACACTAGCGGGTCCCACGTCCATAATACGCTCCAAACTTAATATGAACTAATTTAAACTAGAAAAAATGATTTAAAAACTCTACTCACTTTTAAAATCTCTGAAAAATCAAAATAATAGGGTATAGTGAATAAAAATGCATGCGAGGAAATAAAATAAAATAATATAAAATAAGAAAAATTTACGGGTCCTCACAGCTTAGGTAAGGGGATTGTGGATTTTTGGTATGATCGTTGGCTACTTTTGGCTCCAATAACTGAAGTAGTAGCAGTGCATAATCCCCCTTATATGCTGGTTGTGGAGTTTTTATACGTCAGGTGGATGGATCATATCGAAATTGCAGCAATGGCTTTCAGCCCATTTGGTTCAACATGTTTCTTAGCTTTCTCTTTATCCTGACCTAGATGACGTGATAGGACGGTTGCCATCGGCTGCTGGGTGTTTCTTGATCAAGTCAGCGTGGGAAGGCTTGCGCTCCAGCAGGAATACAATGTTGGTTAACAGGTTACTTTGGTGTAACATTCTGCCTTTAAAGGTCTCCTTTTTTACTTGGTCTGCTTTGAGGAACTTATTGACTCTAGATCCGAATTTGAGAAAGCGCAGCATCTTCTTAGCATCTAGATGTCATTGCTGCCTGTAGGAGAAGGAGTCGGTGAGTAATTTGCTGCTTCATGGGCCAAGTGCTACAATTGTCTGGGACCATTTTACAAAATGACTTGGTATTCTTGATTTCATGAAGTCCTTACTTTCGGCAATGTGGGTTTCTTGATTTTATTCATCTTCAGAAACTTTGAAGGATCACATTTGTAGTGCCATGCCCTCTATTATTATTTGGTTTATATGAAAAACGAGCAATCGAGCGAGATTTGAGGGAGCTAGGTTTAATGTTCAGGAGGTGATTGCCAGGGTTAATCATTTTATTGAACAACTAGAGAGCTGTAGGATTTTCTTTGCAAGTCATTTTCGTGGGGACATGGATGATCTTTGGGCTGGCTTTGCCTCCTCTCGACGTCGTCATCACTCAGTTATGGTGATGAAATGGTTTCATTCCCCTCAATTTCACGTCAAACTGAACATGGACGCAACTGTAGCAGTTGGAAAAGAAACAGGGGGTGGTATTCTACGGGATTATTACGGCGAGCTCATCTTTGCTTTCTATAAAGAATTTGGAGACGTTGATGTGTTGATAGATGAAAGTCTCTCGCTGATGCATGGCCCGTTGCTTTGCCAGGAAAGGGATTGTAATCATCTATTGGTGGAGGTGGACTCTCAAGCCCAGGTTCGCATGGTTTGTTCAGGAGCGCTAGCCAAATGGCCATTATGTAATGTTTTGAGAAGGATTAGGGGGCTCTTGCAAGAGTTGGTTGCCTCAGTTGTTTATGTTTATCGAGAGGCAAATGCTACTGCGAATAAGCTAGCGGGCTTGCAACTCAATGAAGATGTTTTTTACAATTCCCCTCACCAGCTACCGTTTGGAGTCAGGGCAACTTTAGTTTTAAATAGGTACGAATTCCCTTGTATTTGTCGCCAGATTGTAAGGGAATAGATTCTTTAGTTTCTTTTACGCATGTTGTCTTGTTGACACTCTTATTTTGTTTTTTTTGCTCCAATAAAATAGGAGTTGACACCCCTTCCCGAGTTTGGGGATTTTTGCCAAAAAAAAAAAAAATTTCAAATATGATTTCCATTTCTGAAACACAAAGGGGATTGTTACTATTGATGACAACCAAGTTCATCCATTTTACAAGCACGTCTTTCCTTCACAACTTGCTCCAACTCTTTCTTGTATGGGCAAATTTCACTTTACCCCCTGTGATTTAGTATTTTTCTACATAACCCCCCTATGGTTTCAAAAACTATACATAACTCCCTCACTCTCTTTTCTCTTTTGCTCTGCCTCCCGCCTCCGCTAGTGACCACTGACCAGTCCGCTCTTCCATCTCCATTCTCCAGCTCCATCTCTCCATCTCCATTCTCCTGTGGTGGCTGAGATTTTCTCTCTTATGTCGTCATGAGTGCTGATGATTTTGTCGGCATTTGGTTGAACTTCTTGTGCAGGTTCTTGAATAAGGGTTTATCGGATTTCAATTTGGCACTGGACTTGGGATTCCTTAGAAAAGCCAGAAAATACACATTTTTCAAGCCTAAATTCATTTTCTATGCCACTTACTTGTCCAAGAAAATTGGGTACTGGAGATACATAACCAATTACAGGCATCTTAAGGCCAACCCCGAGTATCAATGTTACCCCATCTTCAAATACTTCGAGAACTGGTGCCAGGATGAGAACCGCCATGGAGATTTCTTCTCTGCATTGATGAAGGCGCAGCCTCAGTTCCTTAATGATTGGAAAGCAAAGTTGTGGGCACGCTTCTTTTGCCTTTTGGTAATAACAATACTCCACCTACTTTGTTATACGTTGATTGTTCTCCACAAAACAACAACTGGGTTCTTGCTCGTCCGGATTGTCTCCTCTCACATCGTTTGAATTACCATTTGTAATTTTCGTGTAGCAAAGTTCCTTTCTGATGATGTATCAAAATCAGGCTTTTTGACTGGTCTTATCCTGGAAGACCCGACCCGGACCCGGGTCCCGTCAGGTGCGGTTCCGGGATAAAGATTAAGAGACCCGTCGGATATTCGGTCCGAGTCCGGAATTAATACAGTATAACGGGTCCGGGTCCGGATATATTAAATCCGGCCTGTTGATAGGCCTAGTCCTAGGAGCTGTTGAGCATGTAACTTACATGTCCGCCTGACAGAATTGCCTTGCAGAAAATTCTTGGACCGCTATTTTCACCTCCCAAAAGAAAATATTGATTTATTAAAAATGAAAAGAAAATCACACAAAAGACTACAATCGAAAAAGAAGGAAAGATAAACATGTTGACTTCATACACATGTCTAACAAAAATAGTCCAAAAAAACTATCCACTACTCCTAGCTAATAATAAACCTCGATAAGGGATCTCAAGCCCGGTACTGGAGTTATCTTATAATCATTGAATCCTGCCTCAGAAAAGAGTTTTGCCCACTCTCTCTCATTTCTTTCTTTCCCTGTGACAAGGACCATCATCAGCATATCAAGGAAAAGTTGAGTTTCAATTGCCTCATGATCATCAGCTCCTTTTTGCTGGTCACTCAGTACCATGTCTATGATTATCACCTTCCCTCCATTTTCCTTGCTAGGAATTGCTTCTTTGCATTTCCTAAGTATTTGTATACATTCCTCATCATTCCAATCGTGCAATATCCACTGTTTAAATTAACATTCATATCACAAAGAATTCAAATCAGTCAGGAACACTATGTTAAAGTTATTAAAGAAAATTGAAATTGATAAGAGGTACAGAAGCCTCCCCCCACCCACAAAAAAGATTTGCTAATGCCCTATTTGTGAATAAACTTCCATGACTGATCCAATGCTTTACTGAAATATAGACATGGTTGTAATGAATCAGAAGCGTGTATAGATGTGTTCAGAATCAGTGCTAAGAATGACTTTAACAACAAAAAGGTGAATATGGATCTGTTGCATCATCTTGGAAATGTGAGCTTACCTTCATTATAACAGCATTTGCAGGAGAAATAGTGATCGACGATTTCCTGCGAGCGCACAGGGTCGATTGCAGTACTAATTAACGTGGAGTATTCTAGGGTCGAACCCACAGGAACAAATCAAATTTCTCCACTTTAATTATTTTCACAAAAGAGTGAACGAGAAGATATTTTATATTATCATGAAAGAACTAACAATTAATTTGATTAAATTGATAAGAAGCGAGGGAACAATAGTTAAGCAAGCCTAGGGTTTAGGTTTTAATCCATAGATTGAATTGATTCTCCAATTACTTTTCTTGTCAAGTTATGAACGTCTCACACAATTGTATTTTAGATTATTTTTCGATACATCTAAAATGTGTTTAATGAAATTCTACGCCTCTCTTGAGACCGTAAACATTCAATTAAGCCCCTTTGGAACCTTGGTAACATAAGTGCGTCATGCAAATCCTAACATACTTTCGTGATTAAGCTAAGCGTGTTTATCTATTTAATACACGGTTGTATATTCCTTCTCAATTCAATACAAACCCTAAGAGCATGTCTATGGTGGCCAATCACAAATACGTAATTAAACCAAGATAGATAAATCATAGCAAAACGCAAGAATTTTAATTGAAAAAATTAATTAATTCTCCTTCAAAAGTTTCAAATCATGCAAAGCAATTCCAAACAAGAGAACAAAAACCGAAAAGTTAATAAGAAAATCAGAAATTCAGTGACAAGATGGCTTTAGTTACCTTCAGCAAGATTGCATTGGCACGGGGTACACTTTGAAACATATCTCCAGCTAAAAATTCCAAGTTCACAGCTCTTTCTTGATTCGCAACGACGTGTGGGAGATCATACACTGTACATTTTATGTTAGGAAAGTTTTGGGCAATGGCCCTAGCAACTTTACCTGTGCCACCGCCAACATCAGCCAAAGTTGTCAAGCCTTCAAACACAGACTTGCATTTGGTCATCAGCACTTCAACAGACAACTGATTATCACTAGCCATGGCCTCATTAAACATTTTTCCAAATCGAACTTCTTGAGCGTTGTAATGCCAGAAATTATTCCCATACGCAGTATCAAATGGAGAGGGATCATCATTCTGGAACCACTCGGTCAAGAAATTCCAGGGCTTCAACAGGGCAGGATCACATGATAGAAAAATGTGTGCCCGTACATTGAATGGCTCATCTTTCAAAAGAAGCCGACCTGCAGAGGTGAGTGCATAGCCTTGAGGGTTTTCAACGAAGAATCCAGAGTTAGCCAAGAATCGCATTAAGCGAAAAATGTGGGCAGATTTAGAAGGATGGATTGGGAGGACAGAAATCAGGTCAGAAAGTGTGATGGGCTTCCCATGATTACTGATCACATCTGGGATTCCCAACTCAACTGCGCATTTTACACATGCAGATTTCTTGAAATGGAACATTGCATTCCACACATGAGTTTGAGCTTCAAGAAACTCACCTAAATTGTCAGCTTTTTCCATCTTTTTGGGAACTTTATTTTCAAATTGAATGGCTGTAATTCAGTTGTAAATAACAAATGGTCTGTTGACTTTTCAACGCCCACCACGGTTGAATTGGTGGCAAAATTTTGCATCCCACATCGACAAAGGCTTGAGGAAAGTCTTCTTTGGATTCCTATAAATAAGGAAGCCTATTGAAGGAATAAGCTCGCACCACTCAAGAGAGTTATATGGGCTATTAGCTTCTTGAGTCATCTACCCCATTTAGTCAAATATTTTAGGCTCTCTTGATTTGAGTTTAGGAATATTTTCTAAACTCTTTTGTAAGTGCCTATTGGCCTAGGAACCACTTTCCTACGGTCTTTTGTATTTCTTCTTCATAGTAGAAATATTGCTCCTCCCTCGCCCGTGGACGTAGGTCAATTTGACCGAACCACGTAAATCTTCTGTGTCTTTTATTTGCTTTGTTATCCGTCTTTATATGGTCGGTTTTACCGCCTAATTATTATATGGCTGGTATCTACCGCCTATCTATTATATGGTCGGTTATACCGCCTGCTTTGTCCTAACTTTAGTTTGTCTATTTCCTGGCCCGGTCCTAACAAACTGGTATCAGAGCTGGTTATTATATTTTGCAAGACAGGTTCATCTGGTGGGGTCCGTCCATCCTGTGGGGCCCACTCATCCTGTGGGGTCCGTTTATCTGTGGGGCCCGCTCATCTTGTGGGGTCCATTCATCCCTCGTGGGGCCCGCTTATCTCGTGGGGTCCGCTCACCCTGTGGGGCCCGCTCACGAGACTTGCATATTTGTTTGGCCAGTTTTTTGAGACAAACTTCACGTTACAGATTTTGTGGCAACAATGACGATAACAAAGACGGTTGTCGAGAAATTCGACAGGAATGTCAACTTCGGAATGTGGCAGCTCAAGATGGAGGCCATTCTTGTTCAAGACGGAGTTGATCTAGCGATTCACGGAATCGAGAACAAACCAGAAGATGTAAAGGATGCGGATTTCGCCGATATGGATAAGAAGGCCAGATCCAGCATAATCTTAAATCTCTCCGATGAGGTATTGCGTGAGGTAGCAACGGAGACTTCGGCCAAGGCTATGTGGGATAAATTGAAAGCCTTGTATATGAAGAAGACAGTCGAGAATCGGCTATATTTGAAGCAGAGTTTGTACATGCTTCGGATGTCTGAAGGTACATCTATACTCTCCCATCTTGATAAATTTGATTCCATTATTATGGATTTGGGGAATATAGATTCGAAAATTGATGATGAAGATCAAGCCCTATTACTTTTGTGTTCCCTTCCCCAGTCTTTTAAGCATTTTCGCGATACTATGATTTATGGAAAGGAAACAATTTCGTATCGGGAAATTAAATCTGCATTAAAATCTAAAGAGCAGATAGATAGGGACATTACTGGGGAAACTAGTGGGAGTCAAGCCGATGGCTTGTTTGTTCGGGGTAGATCTGAAAAGAGAAACACAGAAAATAGAAGTAGATCCAAGTCCAGACATAAAAATGTAGTGTGCAATTATTGTAAAAAGAAGGGCCATGTTATCTCTGATTGCTTTAAATTGAAAAATAAAGAAAAGCAAAAAGGGAAATTTGTTGAGAAAAATACTGAATCTGCTGAAGCTAGTATAGCAGCTGATGAGAATGATGGAACCATTTTCTGTGCAACGGAAAATATTTTTAGGTCTAACAATGAGTGGATTTTAGATTCGGGTTGTTCATATCATATGTGTCCCAATAGGGACTGGTTTTCAACATATGAATCAACTGAAGGTGGAGTTGTCTTAATGGGCAACAACGCTGTTTGTAAAGTTGTTGGCAAAGGCACAATCCGGATTAAAATGTACGATGGTATTGTGAGGACGCTCACAGATGTTAGACATGTTCCAGATTTGAAGAAAAATCTCATCTCTTTAGGCACTCTTGAGTCTATTGGGTGCAGGTATTCAGGTGGAGATGGAGTTCTCAAAATCAGTCGAGGAGCCCTTGTTGTTATGAAGGCACACAAATCTGGTACTTTATATATTTTGCAGGGATCTACTGTTACAGGTGCTGCTGCTGTTTCTACATCAACTTTGTCTGATTCTGATTTTACCAAATTATGGCACATGAGATTGGGGCACATGAGCGAGAAGGGCTTATCTATTTTATGCAAACGAGGTCTTCTTGGTAGTCAAAGTATTGGAAAGATGGGTCTCTGTGAACATTGCATTTTTGGAAAGCAGAAGAGAGTTAGCTTCCAGTTGCCGGCAGTTCACAGGACAAAAGGAACTTTGGACTACATTCATTCAGACCTCTGGGGGCCTTCTCGTGCTCCTTCTAAAGGTGGTGCCAGGTACATGTTGACTTTCATTGATGATTATTCAAGGAAAGTTTGGGTATATTTTCTTAAGCATAAAAATGATGTTTTCCTAACTTTCAAGCAATGAAAAGTTTTGATTGAGAAGCAAACAGGAAAACACATTAAGCGGCTCAGGACAGATAATGGCATGGAATTTTGTGGAGGTGAATTTAATGAATTCTGCAAGAATGAAGGAATTGTTCGGCATCACACCGTCAGGATGACGCCTCAACAAAATGGTGTGGCCGAACGTATGAACAGAACTCTTTTGGAGAGAGCAAGATGTATGATCTCCAATGCAGGGTTGACAAACGACTTTTGGGCAAAGGCGATCAATATGGCCTGTTATATTGTCAACCGTTCTCCTTCTGCATCTCTTGATTTCAAAACTCCTGAGGAAGTTTGGTCAGGTACTCCTGCTGATTACTCCAATTTAAAAGTTTTTGGGTGTCCAGCATACATGCACGTGAATGATGGAAAATTGGAGCCTAGGGCTAAAAAGTGCATTTTTCTTGGGTATGCTTCTGGGGTGAAAGGATACAGATTATGGTGTCCTGATCCCAAATCTCCAAAATTTGTGATCAGTAGAGATGTTACTTTTGATGAATTGTCTATGTTATCTTCTAAGAAGGAGTGTTCTAGTCCTTGTACTACTGATAGTACACAGAAACAGGTGGAGCTTGATATTGGCAGTTCTGGTCCTTCTCAGACCAAATCTTCTATTCAACAAATGCCAGTAGATACACTTGAATCTACTGTTGAAGATAGTTCAGAAGAAGAGGAATATTCCATAGCCAGAGATAGACAAAGGAGAGACATTCGACCACCACAAAGATATGCAAATTTAGTTGCATATGCTTTGTCTATTGCAGAAGAAACTGATGCAGTTGGTGAGCCTTCCACCTATTCAGAAGCAGTTTCTTGTGATGATTCTGCAAAGTGGTTGATTGCGATGAATGAAGAAATTGAATCTCTTCATCGTAATGAAACTTGGGTTCTTGTAAAGCCGTCGTCAGCTAAGAAAATTGTTGGTTGCAAATGGGTCTTCAAGAAGAAGGAAGGTATTCCAGGGGTTGAAGATGCAAGGTATAAAGCACGATTAGTTGCAAAGGGCTATAGTCAGGTACAAGGTGTTGATTTTAATGACGTGTTTTCACCTGTTGTTAAACATAGCTCTATTCGTGTTTTACTTGCTTTAGTTGCCATGTATGATTTGGAGTTAGAGCAGCTTGATGTTAAGACAGCTTTCTTACATGGCGAACTTGAAGAACAAATTTATATGAGACAACCCCAGGGTTTTGAAATTGAAGGTAAGGAAGACCATGTTTGCTTATTGAAGAAATCCTTATATGGATTGAAGCAGTCTCCAAGACAATGGTATAAAAGGTTTGATTCCTTTATGTTGGGTCATGGTTATTTGAGGAGCATGTATGATAGTTGTGTTTACTTCCGGAAGTTAAATGATGGTTCTTTCATTTATTTACTGCTTTATGTTGATGACATGCTCATTGCTGCCAAGAATTTGTCAGAAATTCACACTTTGAAACTGCAGTTAAATAGTGAATTTGAAATGAAAGATTTGGGAGCAACTAAGAAAATTCTTGGCATGGATATCAAAAGAGATCGAGGAGTAGGGAAGTTGTTCTTGACCCAGAAAAATTATCTTGAGAAAGTTTTGGAGCGTTTTGGCATGAAAGATGCTAAACCAGTATCTACTCCTCTTGCTAGCCATTTTCGGCTATCTGCTGCTCAATCACCAAAATCAGATGAAGAGGAAGATTATATGGCACGGGTTCCTTATTCCAGTGCAGTCGGCAGTGTTATGTATGCAATGGTTTGTACTCGTCCAGATATTGCACAAGCAGTCAGTGTTGTTAGCAAATATATGTCTTGCCCTGGTAAAGTACATTGGCAAGCTGTGAAGTGGATTCTCAGATACTTGCGAGGTACTTCAAATGCATGTTTGGAGTTTGGAAGAAATAATAACACTTTGGTTGGTTTTGTAGACTCAGACTACGCTGGGGATCTTGACAGGAGAAGATCACTTTCAGGCTATGTATTTTGCATTGGCGGTTGTGCTGTTAGTTGGAAAGCTACTTTACAACCTGTCGTAGCCTTGTCTACTACTGAAGCAGAATATATGGCTGTGACCGAGGCAATCAAAGAAGCCTTGTGGTTGAAGAATTTATTTAGCGAGCTAAGTCTATATCAAGGTGTTACTGATATTCACTGTGATAGTCAAAGTGCCATACACTTGACTAAAGATCAGATGTATCATGAGAGGACGAAACATATTGATGTGAAGTATCATTTCATTCGGGATATCATTGCTGAAGGAAAGGTCCTTATTCAGAAAATCAATACCAAGGACAATCCAGCTGACATGTTTACGAAACCTCTTCCAGTTTACAAGTTCAAGCAGTGCTTGGACTTGATTGGTGTTCGTTATTGGTGATTTAAGCCCATTGGGGCTTATGTGAAGAAGGTGGAGCAGTTTTTGGGTGGAATCCAAAATTATGCCAAGGTGGAGATTTGTTGACTTTTCAACGCCCACCACGGTTGAATTGGTGGCAAAATTTTGCATCCCACATCGACAAAGGCTTGAGGAAAGTCTTCTTTGGATTCCTATAAATAAGGAAGCCTATTGAAGGAATAA